ATTTTTCAAATTTGCATTTTTAACCTAAACATTTTTATTTGCAACTTTAAAATTAACCTCCAAAGTTGGTCAAAACAGTATTTTGTCCGTTAAAGCACTAATTTTTGCGTGAATGTTGACATAGAAGTCCTTCAGGGCAGGCTTGCCCCTAAATTAAATTAGGAAATTTTGATAGATTTTGATCTAAAGAATGATTTAAAACAAAAATTTTTTAAGGGGCACCCCTGCCTTAGGGTCGAAATTCGTAAAAAAAAAAAAAAAAAAAAAAAAAAAAAAAAAAAAAAAAAAAAAAAAAAAAACTACAAAAAAATGCGAAAACCTAATTCTATAATACTGGATTATATTTATGACATATGTATTCATAGTCAGTATAGCTCAGATAGAAAGACCGCAGACTCTCACCATGAACATTTTGTGTTCTGGTTCGAATCCACCTATTGGCACACTTTTATTTTTCAAATTTTTCACCTGTATAAACACGAATTTAACTGATTTTCTATACAGGCTTTTGCATTTTACTCCTATTTTCTTCCTTAAATGTATGTTTGCTGTTGATATAAAAGACATTTATCGAAATGCAGATCATAAATTCTCTTTAACTAAACGCAATCAACTATACCTCAGTGTAAGCACACTTTGTTCGAGGACACCAATCATTCACTTTGTGTTACTCGATACTGCAGGTTGCACGAAAAAAAATCATGCCGAGTAAAAATTGCTGTGTTTGTCTTTCAAGAACATCTCTGGGTAATAGTACTGTTGTGCCAGTGGTAGAGATACTGCGCTATGCAGAGTAGATGCAGTTCATTCCTCGGGAAAATTGTGTGCATTGGCGATATGTTATGTCAAAAATGCAGGAGTAAGGTTTAAAGATTAGAAAAGAATGTGGTAAGGTCAGTTAAGGTTTTATGTCCTGTTTCCATTACCCAGACATCAAGTAACGACCCTCATTCAAAGGATGTATCTGTAAATACCGAGGTAGGGTCAGATGAACACACAGTTGACTACAACTAAAGCGATACATGAGAAACAAGAAACTACACGCATGTGGCTTAAAGTCAGCGATTGGAACGGATATCGATAAGCTTTTTCTAAAGACTGAAACCAATATTGGCCCTATAGGTCAACGCATATATTTACCTAGAAGCGATCCTTTATGTTAAGACACAATTTCAATACAAAAAGGTCATATTACATGTATCGAAATGCCAAAAGAAGCCCATTTTTTTGTTTTGATTTTTTAATTAATCTACGTGTGTAGATATGAAAGTATATATAAAATACATATATAAAAAATTCATAAGACTTCAGATATCAGGATCCAACCTCTTTAAGAAATGATAAAAGCCTTACTGTTTAAATTAAGGTATTTTCCAACAGGTCAATTTAGAATATATTTTGTGGTATAAAATTCTTTTTCAAAATATTTAAGGTAATTATTTCAGATACTGAGAGGTTTAGAGTCATCAAAACTTGCATTTGTAAGTCCATGCATGTTGGGGCCTTAAAACATATTTATCAAAAAGTAAGTCAATGTGACTTACTATTTGAATTTTGCAGGCATTCGTATTCAAATTGTTTTTTAAGCATATTTTGGAAACTTAAAAGCCTATGATCATCAAACTTTGTCAGTTAATGCATCTTGGGTCCTCGGAGAACATCAACTGAAAAGTAGGTCACCTGACCTACATTTGGTATTTTACGGATATATTTAGATATTTCAGGTACTTATTGGCTTGAAATCATCGAACTTGTCAGTTGATGCATCTTGGATTCTCAGAGTAAGTCAACGGAAAAGTAGGTCACCGTGACCTACTTTTGAAATTTAATGGCTATATTTAAATATTTCAGGTACTTATAGCCTTGGAATCATCAAACTTTGTCAGTTGAGGCATCCTGGGTCTTCATAATACGTCATCTGAAAAAGAGGTCACCATGACCTACTTTTGAAATCTTATGGCTATATTTAAATATTTCCGGTACTAATTGGTTTAGACTCATTTAACTTTGTCAGTTGATGCATTTCGGGTTTTCAGAGTACGTCAACTGAAAAGTAGGTCACGGTGACCTACTTTTGAAATTTTATGGCTATAAATTAAATATTTCAGCTACTAAATGGCTTAGAATCATCGACCTTTGTCAGTTCATGCATCTTGGGTTCTCAAAATAAGTCAATGGAAAAGTAGGTCACCCTGACTTACTTTTCGAATTTAAAAGTAGGTCATGTTGACCTACTTTTGGAATTTTATGATGACATTATAATATTTTAAAAACTAATTGGCTTATAATCATCAAACTTTGTCAGTCAATGCATCTTGGGTCCTCGAAGTGTGTCATCTGATTTTTCTACCTAATTTTATAACTATATCTAAATATTTGAGATATAAATTGTATTTGAATCATCAAACTTTGTCATTTGATGTATTTTGAGTCCTCAGAATGTGTCAACTAAAAAGTGGGTCACAGTGACTTACGTTTTGAATTTCAAGGCAATATCTAAATATTTAAGATAATAAGGGACTTTGAAACATCAAACTTTGTCATCTGAGGTTTACAGTGTGTTTTAACCATGATGTTGGTCATGATATCCTACTTTTGAATCTCAAGGCTTTATCTAAATATACAGGATACTTAGAGGCTTCAAACAGAAGTTTTAGGTTGTAAATTTTGTCAGAAGAGCAATTCAAGGTCCTTGGTGCTTCTTGTCATGTGTTTATGGCTCTGGTGTAACCATTTGCAAACACATGACGCCACAGACTATTTTGTTTGCAAGGCATTGACATCTTTATGTAAATCTATCATAACATGTTTTTTTATTGGCTCTTACATTTAACAAATTATGATAAACATGTTATATGAAATCATAACATGTTAAGAACTAATGTTAAACACATACGGTATCAATTTTGATGCACCAGATTCGCATTTCGACAAATTATTTCTTTTAGTGATGCTGAAGCCGAAACGTTGGAAATTCAAAATATTTAAATAAAAAAAGACTTTAAAGAGCTCAAAAAAGTTGCCAAAAACTGGAGCCAAATACGTTGAAGGATTAGAGCTATGCATGAGGGAGATAATCCTTAATTTGAAATAATTTCTAAATGTTACCACAGCAATTAAATATATATCCGTATTTTCAAGCTGGTGTCGAAGTACTTAGCTACTGAGCTGTAGAGACCCTCGGGGACAGGGAAGAACGTTTTAATGCATTAACTATGAGATGCTAAAATTTATACAGTTTCATTGAGAATTAAGGTATGTATTCTCTCTCTCTATGTCTATTACAAACCTATATGGTTTAGAACGGACATTTTATTTGCACATTTTAAACTTGGAATATATTCATATCATAATCATTTTAATTATTAATAGTGAACCTATTAGTGACAGTAAAATAAAATGAAATTTTATTAAACAAGGATGGGCATTAATAGTGTACCACATGCAGTGACTTTATAATTGGAAAATGGACTTTAATTTCATGAATTATAATTATCATGTTAGAACAAACTGGATTTGATGTTGGAACAATGAACTATAATTTTGTAAATTCTTTTGTTATGGAATTGATCAGAATGGACCAATCAAGCCCATCATTACTAAGTAATAAAATATGAACGAAATGCAAAGTTACTGTTAATAAAATCTTTGTTATTGGCTTACAGTGGCTTACAGTATATGCGCAAGGATTTCATTCAGATCCAAAACGAAAGAACATCCTTTCTCTTCTGCCTCTGACATATTTAGAGTAGAGTCGCATCTTCTTGGGCCTTTCCGGTAAGCTCGGAAAAACACCTCGAATGTATTCACATCACCGTATATTAAAAATTTATACGAAATGCAGTCGCTTCATGTTGGGTAATTCAAAGTTTATGAAAAGGGGTTGTCATGGACGCCTACATAACACATTCAAGGTTTTCTGTTTAAGATAAAATACAATTTTAGTGCCTACAACACAAATAAAGTCATCTTTATTGCAGGAATGACATAAAAATAAATAAGGGTGACAATAAATAAAGAAAATAATTCTTACTCGAAGTATTTAAGGCGTATCCTGATCTAAAATTAGGAGAATAAAAAAACCCAATAACAAAGGCAGCTAAAGTGCTAGGCATAGGAAATTTTTTTTTTAAAAAATTATATATACCTTTCATGAGAATATATATATATATATATATATATATATATTGGCTTTATTGTATACACTTCATGCATAAAATTTCATTGCTGCTTTAAATAATGTTTGTTGCATTCAAACAAATATCAGCAGGAAACGTGTTCATGTTTCTTCAGGTCTATGGCCTCGAGTGAGATGAGATGACTTTTATGCCTATATCATGCCTATATCAGGGAAAACTGACAAAATTGTTATTGTTCTAAAGCAAATCACGAACAGCAAATTTCCTTTGAGAGATTCTTCTTTTGTTGAATATTCAATCTGTCTTGCTGGGTATGAAATGATTTTTTTTCAGATCAGTACAGTTTTACAATCCTATCCAGAAGAACTATATCTCAAACTAGTTCTGTATAATCTGACCTAGAAATGGTGATGTCCTCAGCTAAGATCTTAAGTAGGTTAGTTTTGGTCATTAGAAAGGAATATATGAAATTCATCATCTGGGCCCTGTATTATACACAGAGAAACATATATGTTAAATGCTTCAACTTGCTCTTACATCAAATGTTTGTTTACATAACAACGTAGTAATAATTTGATAACGGAGTGAATGACTCAACATCTGTTGATGATATAGTGATGCACATACTCTACATTCTTTGATAGAACATGTTTTTTGTTTTGTTTGTTTGTTTTTTGTTTGTTTGTTTGTTTTTTGTTTTTTTTTTCGGGGGGGGGGGGGGGAGGGGGTTTCTACGGGTTGGTAAAATCAGAACTGGAAAGATGAATTTTCTCTGATGTCTTGATATCAAACCAAAGTACCTGAAGATAGCTTGCAGACTATATACATGTTACACCAGTATGTATGGTTTAATGATGGATTTTACTGCTGATATTTGATTTTCTTTACTTGTCTTTTCCAATATTGAGCTACAAATAAATTATCACTTGTATCTGTACATAGTGCCCAGGGATCACTCAGTTCACAGTGTATATAACGTATGAAGTGTCCATCCTGATCAATAATGTGGACACAGCCTTTGCCATAATCAGCTGTAAGGATGTGACTCTGACTGTCTGTGGTGATTCCTCGTGGTTTGAACAGATCCTTCATTGCAAAAGGAGTATGTCCAGTGTACCTAAATCTCAGCTTTCCTGACTGATTGACCACCACTATTGCTTTAGCCGAAAGGTCAGATACACAAATATCTAGATTCTTGTTCTCACTGATGTGTTTTATCTCATAACCACCAGAGGAATAGAGGGGTTTACCTTCATCATCAAACTGAATTGTTTGTTTCTGGGTGGATCCAGAGTAACGGACAACTTTTGATTGTTTTCTGTCATCTTTCTCCATGGTTACAAGTAGGTCACCAGAGGAGCTATTGCAGATACAACTGGGTTTCCAGTTCTGAAGTCTGATAATCTCCTCTATCTTTTCATTCTTTACAATGTTAACAGTTTTATCATCATAATCAGTGTAAACTAGATCTCCACTTTTTATCACTGCTATATCCCATGGTCTGTTCCATGACCTGGTGGTGATTGACTTGAGTAGTGATCCCTGACTGATGCTGAAGAAATTCATGGTTCTGATTGACTCAAATAGTGAGCCTTGTTTCATGCTGAAGAGCTTCATAGTGCTGTCATCTCCAATTGCCCAGATGGCTTCATCACTCAGACAGGCAACAGTTTCAAGGTAATATTTAAAACAAGAGGTGTCTATGGTAGTGACAGTTTCTGGTTCATCAAGCAGCTGTTTGACTTGAGGAGAGGATCCAGCTTCTGGTGATATGTGTGTTGTCTTCATGCTGTAGCCATTTTCGTCTGGGGAAGGAGAAGTTGAAGTTAAGGTTCCAAACAGCTTTGAAAATTGCTCTCCATGAATTTTCCCTGGAATGAATGTAGGTGAAGAAAGCACAAATTTGTGTGGTAGATGTTTATACTCGTCTACAGTACAAGTAGCACTTAATAGCTTGGAAATGTCTTGAGATTCAACGATAATATCAATTAAATGTATTTCCTCTCTGAGATTGAAAAGTTTTTTGTTTATTTCATCCAGATGTTTCTGAAGAGTTTGTATTTGTGTGTTTTTCATCTCATCAACTTCAGCTTTAAGGTTTTTAACAAGTTTGTCAATTTCTCTGTGCCAGTTCTTTCCATGTTTTGTTATGGCAGTTGAGAGAACTCCATATTCATTTTCTAACTGACTCATTCTATTCTTTACATCAGAGGCAATGCCCTGGTAGGTTGGATAAATTGCCTCATTTAATTCAATTTGAACTTTGATTATCTTGTCTTTTCTTTCTTCTAGAACTTCCAATATTTCTGATAATTTATGACCTAAATGTTGATGAGATGCAACACACTTGGTGCAAACAGAAATGTTACATTGACGGCAATACATTTGACATTGCTGTTTATCATGAGTCGTACAGACAGGATAGAGAGGAGTGGATTTTCTGTCCTTGAAATCAACAATTTTATGAGGTTTGGATAGATCAGCTGCGAAATGTTCTCCCACGCACGCTTTACACAGGTTAACAAGACATGTATCACAGTGCATCTGCACAATTGCAATCTCGCACAGATCACATCGCATCACGTCCTGAACACTAGTACGTGGGTTCATGATTAAACTTGTGTCTCTGAAATATAGAGTATGATTTGAATTGAAATCGTGTATGTGAATTATGTAGTATATTGAAGTGGTGCTGTGATTTATGTCACTAGAATGTTATTGTTTTCCTTTTTTGTCTGGAAGATAACCAGTTTATATGGGTGAGGATGAACTGTCTTGCTCTCGCATATTATTTTTCTTAAAATAGGGCCTAGATCACAAAAAGACGATTGTTTTATTGAATAAAGGAAAATTCTTAAATTTATATTGCAAAGATTAGTAAGTCGATCAAGGATTGATCTGTGTACATACTTCAATTAAAGATCAATTAGTGGTTGTAAGAAACAGTAATGCAATCCCACAATTGAGGAATCGTACTCTACGTACTGAGTTTAAAATTTAGATGGAACCTTTTTTCTTCATTGCAGATTTCAACATTTTTTAAAATGGCATTCCAGTGACAATGTTTCAAGGAAATATAGCAAAATCATTATGTCATGTTACTCACATTTTGTGACTCTCACGTAAAATATTACCTGACATTTACAGTAATGGCAGCTGTCCTATCGATCCTGTTGTTTAAATCTAAATATAGTTGGCAGCTACGTATCTAGGTCACATGACCCGCGTACTACGAGATTTTATACTTCCTGGTCTGTGCGTAGACTAATTTATATTTCAGTTTTTTTTTTCTGCTATCACTTTTTTTAGTTTAAAAAAAAACCCCTCCTTTTTATGATTATCATAGAGGATATACAGTAAAAGTAATGGAAAGAAAAAATTGCAGTTGAATGTTGTCCTCTTTGTGCAAATGTAACCTGTATCCATTTACATATATGTAATTTATATATGAGCTCCATTAATTGGATTGAAATGGCAAGGTTGCACTCTGCTTAAGCTGCTTTGTCAGCACCCCAAGTAATCAGATTAAATCACACACTTAAAAAAAATTCAAAGTGCGTTAAATTTGGGACCAAGTTAACACACCTTGAAAAAAATATTTCTTTTCAAAGTACGTTTATATCGATCTTATTAACGCATTTTGAAAAAAGATTTGCTCGGCTTGGTCAATATTCTTGCAAATTTTAGGTATGATAAAATAATTATTTGACCTTTTCGTCACTTCAGGACCTAAGATATAGACGTTTTAAAGATCTTGTTCCCAAAGGTTAATTTTGCCGCACAACATATGCTTTTTACAGTTATTTGATAAGTATTTAAAAGTTGAAATATTGTTTATTCCGGTATATGGTGACGTCTCTATATGAGTGAAAAATTCTCTAATGGGACGTGAAACAACATACAATCAATCAATTAAAGTGCGTTGATTTTGTCCCAATTTTAACGCACTTTGAAAAGTTTTTTTTTTCAAAGTGCGTCGCCGTGAAGGTGTGTGTGCGTCTGTTTAATATCATGTCGTTTTCATGGCCAGGGTAGGAGGTGGAAAATTTCTTAAGTTCAAACTTTGATCAAATAATCTATCTTTGTTTTATAGTCTTAACTGATCATGTGAAAAAAAAATGCAAAACTTAAGATCTTATTGGTCAATGTTGCGTAACCCATGACTAAGGTTACGAGCAAAGTTTATGAACCTCTTTAAATCATAAAACGGCTAAAGACTGCTACATTCTTTTCAGATTAAAATTATTTTCCAAGCAAAAATGCTAAACTGAAGCACATGCCCTTACATAAATGGGATATACTGATAGAAGATGTTGCAGCTTAAACATTAATTATGAAAAAATATTTTATAAAGTATCGTGTCTTTAATTTGAACATTGTTAGAACACTGACAAAGCTTTTGACACTACCTACAAATTTACACAATATTCCTGCATATATATATATATATATATATATATATATATATATATATATATATATATATATATATATATATATATATATATATATATATATATATATATATATATATATATATATATATATATATATATATATATATCCGTATCCAGATTCCGTAGATCGAGAGTTCAACCCCGGACTGGGGCGGAAATAAAAATTAATTTCATTACAACGTGTATTTGTAACGATCCTCTAATAAAACTAATGTCAAATAACTGTATCTCACTTCCATTCTCAATGACCGTGTAGTGTAGGACAGCGCCGCGAGAATTCCATCGGCATCGAAAGCAAGTTTTTTGACTTGCCTAGATTGCCGAGCGGTCTAGCGCGCTGTTCCTGTACTGCTAGGAGACAGATTCCGTAGGTCGAGAGTTCAACCCCGGGCCTGGGCGGAAGTGGGTATCCTTATAAAAGTGAATTTCTATATATGCTTTCTATATATGCTTTATATATATATATATATATATATATATATATATATATATATATATATATATATATATATATATATATATATATATATATATATATATATATATATATATATATATATATATATATGGTTGTGTATTCCCTTTGGAACAACAAGCAGATTAAATTAATACTTGTATCTGTACACAATCCCACTGGTTTACTCATTCCACAGGGTATGTAACAGAAGAACTTTCCATCTTGGTCCGTGACGTGGACACAGTCATCATTAAAATCAGCCGTAAGAATGTGTCCCTGACTGTGTATGGGGATTTCCTCTTTGCTTAATAACTATTTCCCGCTTTTCTGCCATATTGACTACCACTACTTCTCTGCTTTTGTTTTTATTGATGTATTTAATATCATAACTTTTAGATTAATCTAGAAATAGAGAGGGGATGAAATATGAAGATAACGAACAGTATTCAATCTCGAAAGTTCAATGAAGCGATACAAATTTAGAGCAGAGCAAACACGGGCCTCAAAATTAAGAGGTATGATCAGGTGCCATGGAGGGGTGAGCATTCTACATCCTTTATCATCCTATATCATCAATGTTCTCCAACCACCTTCTACCCTGGCCGTGAAAATGACATGATATCATCCTATATCCTAAATCATCCTATATCATCAAATTGAATGGTTTTCAAATTCTTGGAACCAGAGTAACAGACAACTTTATATTGTTTTAAGTCATCACTGTTCATAATAACCTTGAGGTCACCAGATACGCTGTTGCAAACATCATGAAGTTTTTAGTTCTAAAATTTGATCATCTTTTCTATCTTTTCATTCTTCACGATGTTAATTCTTTTTCACTGGCAATTCTCTTGCTGTGACTGTTCTGATTGACTTGAGTTATGATCCTTGCTTGATTAATTTAAACATGATGTGTTGTTTAAATAGAAACACTATTGATAACAGGATTAGGTAACTACACTGTAGTGTATTTCGTCATGTATACCAGGAACAAACGATTCAAAAGATGATGGCTTACACAATTTTCATTAAATAAATTTACCTTTGATGCATTGTGAATTTAATTTAAAAGTGATTGAAGCGCAGATAAAGCTCTATCAATTTAATTGTTGTACAATTAGACTTTTAAATACAATGTCATTACAGTGCATATCATACACTGATGGATGCTGATATTTTATTTTCTTCACTTATCTGTTATCCTTTTGAGCAACAAACAGAATGTCACTTGTGTCTATGCACAGTCCCCCGGTTGACCCAATATACCTTATATGTAACAGAGAAATTGATTCCTTGAGGTTTGAAGGGATTTTTCTTCGCAAAGGCGTATTTCCAGTGTACCTTAATCTCAGTTTCCCATGACTGACCACGACAACTACTCCAGCATCACTGTCAGACGCACAGGTATCCAGGTTCTTGTTCTCGCAAATGTGTTTCATTTCATACTCACCAGAAGAATAGAGGGGTTTAACTTTATCATAATCATTAAATTAATTCATCATTAAATTGAAAGGTTTGTTTCTGTGTAGAGCCAGAGTAACGGACAATGTTTGTCTGCTTTTTTCATCACTGCTCATGACAACCAAGAGGTCACCAGAGGAGCTTCTTCTTCACTCAGGCAGGCCACATAGTTAAGGAAATATTTATATCCTGTGTCTATGTTGGTGACAATATCTGGTTCAGCAAGCAGTTGTTATATTGAAAGAGTGCATCGAGCTTCCAATGACTTTTGTGCTTTCTTCATGCTGTGTCCCTTCTTATCTTGGAATGAAAAAGCTGATGATAATGTTTCTAACAGCTCTTCATCAATTCTTCTTGGAGTGAATTTAGGTAAGTAGAGCAGAAGTTTATATGGTAACTGTCTATACTTGTCTATATTGATTGTGACATTGTATAGTTTGGAAATGTCATTAGAATAGACAGCAACGTCAATTAAATGATTTCTCAATCATTCTACAAAACATGCCCAATTTTTCATGTCGCTTACAAATTTACCGTTGTAATATCTTAACTATAATTTTAAAGGCCGTGCCCCCCCCCCCCCAAATAATTTTGCCGATATATAGATTACTATAATAAACATATGTAGTATATGCTGGTGCCCCCTCAATAAAAACGTCTGATGACCTTTTTTTTTTTTTTTGCTTGTCAAAGAATTTTTGGTAGTTGATTACCTTTTTTTTTTGCTTGTCAGGAAAAATTGTATGGCTGTGCCCCCCCCCCCCCCCAAACTGAAATTGCTTCCTACGGGCCTGCAACGTTCTATACTGAACGTAAGAAAAAGAAAAATCGGTCAAATTCAGCTTTATTTAAAAAATAATAAGACTTGTTCAAGCATTGACTTCCGTAACATTACCTTAAAATCAATGGTAAATTGAAATTGATCTAAAAAAAGTTAACTATACCAGATTCGTGGACAATTCTTTTTTTTTCAAGTTTACTGATATGTCCTTTAGAGAATTATGATGTTCAATTTGCTATTTGAAACAATAAATTTTTTCATGTTTTATACCCTGAATTGGTCCTTTTATCGTTGAATGACTGTTCCACCTTGACTTGAAAAATTGATTTGTTTTATTTTGTCCAAATGTTTCTGTAGAATTTGTATCTGGGTTGTTGCTTTTTTCATGTCATCAACATCAGCTTTACGTTTCTTGACAAGTTTGTCAATTTCTATGTGCCAAATTTCTCCTCGA